CTCGACCTCCCGCACAACAGTCCAGCGCTCTATCCATTGAGCCAACCGGGAGGCGGTTTACCGAGCTGTCTGCGTGAAAGCTTAACTCGATTTGATGTTCTAAGTAAGTGTTTAACAAGGGCGGACTGCGAGGATAAGTCTTGTTCGCTGAAAATGTTTTTAGACCAATTCAGTGGAAATGGTAATTCCAGGGCGAGAATTCAAAATGCAGAAGTCTGATAATATATTTCTGTTTCGGTCTAACACTAAGAAAACCGTCGACAATATTGGCCGATGCTAACCCAACTTCGGCTACTTTATAAATGTTTATTTAAACCACAAAAACAACAAGAACAAAAAAAAAAAAAAAAAAGCAAGTATCCAATCTGAGCCATAATTATTTTCTTCAAAAATGTAAAACTTATGACACTAGCGAGCCTTTCATACTATTAACGGTAAGTACAGATAAAAAATGTAACGAAAAGATACTGTGATGAAATAATCAGGCGACATAAAATCCCGGGGAATGGTATATCCTATAACCTTGGGTGTAACAGTAACATGCATTGCTGTTATCAACTTATGGGAATCTAGTGATTGCAAAATTTCTTCATGAAGTTTGATTTCGAATCAGTAAAAATACGGTGGACACTTGAGGAAATACTGAGTAGGGAATTTACTAGAAGTTAACCCATTATCTTCCAAAGTTGATAAACGCGTCACTTCTCCCAACAAACTAGTAGAGAACTTAAGGAGAGACGTTTTTGAAACGCGGACAAAAACCAGAGGAATAATAAAATTAATTTTGATGCACTTTGACGCATATGTATCGACCGTAAGTCGTTGTTTTAGCATTCTAAATTAAATAGGGGGAGTGAGCACTGGGAATAAGAACTTTTAACTTTCGGGCTACCGCTCGCGTCTCAAAAACGTCATTTTGATGACAACATTAAATTCTTTTGATTCTTTTACAAATAAATGAATAGCGGCCAGAAGGGAGAATTATTTATCAGATGAGGGAGTTTGAGAGTCAGTGGAAATCTAAACTTCTTTATAGTTTGTCTAGAGTCCAACGTGGAAAATCTATTCCAGTGAATTTTGCAGATTAATAAACGTAAAACAATATTAACCTTTTCAACCGTTAGATTGATCAGCATCTAATTTCTCCTCACGTCTACACCGCCGAATCATTCATTAGGATCATGAGATTTAAGGAAATGATCCCCAACCTAAGTAACTTGATGGTCAAACGAATTCTCCAGGTCAGTACCAAAGGAAAAATGTACAGGAGATTAGGGTGTAAAGGGTCAACAGCAAATTTCACTCGCTAAAATCAGGTCTGCTTTGGCAAAAAAAAAAAAAAAAGTGAATGCGGGCGCAGGTCTCTCTGATTTGTTCTGCATGCTTTCTGTCTAAATTTTCTTTCTTGCCTAAATTTTTAAAACACTTCTTCTACTAGTTCTCCATAATATGCCGTTATTGTCTTCAGTTTCTTGTTTAGAAAATTCTGCTCAATTTCCACCCTGCCATTCGGAGCAGCGAGGGATAGCAGTTGTTCGATGTCGGCGTTACGAGGCATAAAATAAGCAATCTTCTCCGTAATTGATTTTGTTTCGTCAAAAAGTCTACAGCCATCCAATGTGATCATGGTTCGAATGTCAAACACCTCTGCGCTAGTATAGTTAGGTCCGCCCCATGGCGGGCTCAAGAACACCACGTCAGCGGTCAAGCGCGGTATCAAGCTCATGTAATCACCACAAATGAACTCAATCCGATCTGCTACTCTATACACTGTAGCGTTATGATGAGCAAGGGCGACCTTTACGGGGTCGATGTCAATTGCTATGACGCGCTCGCAGGTGAAGGCAAATTGAATTGCATTTCCACCGACACCGCAGAATGCATCTACGATAAGATCGCAACGACACCTCTCGGCGATATGCTTAGCTATGCGCTCGGGAGTAACAGAGAACCATCCCTCTTTGTCCATTTTGATACCTTTGTCAAATCGCGAAAACAAGCGGTATCTCTGCGCCCAGTACTTGGCAATTTCTGGATCTTGCTGGGGATTTGTTTTCACCGTGATACCATCAATAGTGTCCTGGTTCAAGAAAACTTTTCGGTGATCCTCTGAGGGAAGGCAAGCATTACCATGGTTGTCTAGAACGTCAACCTGACGATCCATCATTTGGTTTCCAACATCGGAATTTGAATTAGTTTCTCCGCTTGAATCAATATGTGAATCACTTCCTCGCCTTAAATCTGGATTAAAATCAGTTTTGCCGCTTAGATTAACATTTGAATCATATTTCCCGCTTAAATCTGCACTTGAGTTATCTTTGCGACTAGAATCCGGATTTAAATCAATTTGGCCGCTTAAATCCAAGCTGCAGCCTGTGGCTGTGTCTTGGTCGTGTTTTAAAGCCAAGTGATCTTCTGATTCTTCATATGCTTTCTCCTGAGCTTGAGGTAATGAAAGTTCCTCGCCCTCTCGAGTGAAACAGTGTATTTCATTATCTTCATCTTCTTCGTCTTCAAACCTAAGATGTATTCCTTTCAGTTCGGGAACCTTCGACACCTGGTGCATGTTTAGAAATTTGTTATTGGATTGAAGGTCTTCCACTGGTACTAACAGTTTAGCACTTCCACCAGGGACATTTGATAGTGCCGAAGAACAGGAGGCGTTAAGAGGTAATTTGCGAGATACCTTAAATAAAAAAATAAAAAAAAAATCAGTTGAGTAAATTTTTCCTTCTATGGTTTTAATCCTTTGCATGCTAACATTAACATTTATATTCTCCACACTGTTCTATTTCCATTTCCTGTGGTACTGGCAAGGAGAATTTGTTTGACAATCAGAAGCTTCTTACATTGGTGATCATTTCCTTTATTCTCATGACCTTAACTGTTGATTGAAGGGTGATACTGCAAGGAGAAATTAGGTCTTGAACCTAGACATCCTGACCAAAAGTCCACCTAATAGGCTACCACATATTAATAATAATTATAATAATAATAATAATAATAATAATAATATCTGATACCTTAAATCCCATCATTTCATATGCTCTCTCAAGACTCAAGGTATTTTCTTCCTCCACATCCAACTCATGCGCCCTTTTCAATTTTTTCCATCTCTCTTCAGGAGGTGGTTCATTTCCATCGCATGATTCACTGGTTTCGCTGGAGACTTGCTGTGTTCCCACCCTGCTGCCTCCACGAACTGTTGGCCTTGCTGCTGAGTGAGTGGCGTCACCATGTCTCCCTTTCTTCTTCTTCCTTGGCTTTTTTGCAGATCCATGTGAAACAGTGCCTTGGTGTTCAGCGATGCTTGTAAGCAATTCAACTGGGTTACCTGTGGAGTGCTCTAAATGACTATCAAATCTGTGACCCACCTCTTTTCCTAACCCTGAAACACAGTCCTGATCTTCATCAAAGCCTGTAATAGTCTTATCTGGGTCACCTGTGGAGTAATCCAAATGACCATCAAAACTGTACCCCTTGCTGGACCAGTAGTGGTATTGTTCATAGTAATAATGATATACATCCAGGTAATTTTGTTCCCAGAGTAAATTTACTTCCTCTGTCCAAGTTGGTGATGATTCCTTGCTGAATTTAAAATTCTTTGTGTCTTCTTCTTCTCGAGAGACTGGATGTGCCATCTCTATTTGATAATCATTCCCATCGGCAGACTCACTGGGAAGGTCCAAGGGCTGTACAATGTAGTTTTCTCCAAGTGACAATTCATTGTCCAATACATGATCCCCATCTGGAACATTTTCTTGTAAGTAATTACAGGTACTTTTTTTCTCTCCCTTCAGTAAGGTGTTTTCTAGGGTATCACTTTGGGCCTCACCTGAAAACCTTGCTTCTTCATCAGCTTTTAAACATTTATTATTTTGAGCATCAGAAATTTGAGAATAAATTTCTTTCCAGCTTTCCCACACCAAAGAGTAACCATATATTTTCCAATACTGTTCCCAGCCACTGTTGTAACTGATATCCTTCTCAGTGGGGAGAGAGAGAGTTTTCTTCTCCTCTGTGTCATCAAGAGTATGGCTTTCCAATTTCCCATTGTGTCCTTCTCCTATTGAGGGACTTTTCCTTCCTTTTGGGACACTTGTTATTTGGACAGGAATTGCAGCAATGTGGGAGTCTGTGCCTTTTACAAGTAAAGCTTGTTCCTGTTGGTACTCAAGTTGGATTTGCCCAGCTGTGCCACTCTCTCTAGAATTCAAAACATAAGGAGCTGCCAGTTTAATATTGCCCCCTGTTGTTTGCGTTCTTTCAACTTCTTGATCAGAATCAATGCTTGTGCATGTACCTAAGTGTTTCAGCAGCATCTGTGAGGTCTTTTGTTCTCTCACTTGACTTTTGAGTATACTTTCAGTGGGAACACTATCTTCTTTCCTTATGCAGCCCTGAGAAATGTACTCAGCAGAAAAATCATGTGAACAGGTACATTTTCCACTGACTTGGTGTTCCAACATTTCATCTGATGATGGCATAAAGATGCTTGAGTTCTCCTGAAAAATTTGCCTCCCACTCAATTCAGCATTGTCCATGTTTTCAAACAAATTTTTTTTCCTTTGAGTCTGACTATCACAATTCAGGCTTGAACAATCATGAAGAGTTATAGCTTCTTGCTCTGGTTTACAAGGACCTGAGCAATCATCACCAGTTTCAAACCTTGTCGAAGGGAGAGCACTATCAATTGTTTTCTTATCTACCTCGCACAGTCTCTCACTGTCCATCTTTGCCATTTGCTTTTGCCTTGGCAAGGCATTGTTTTCTCTACTTTTACTTAACTTCTTTTGTCTTTTAGAATTGTCATATGTCACAGGCTGCAAAAACAAAGAGGTGAATGTTTTAGAAGAAAGGGAAAATGTCTATTCAAAATTATGACACAGATCCTATGAGTAAGTAGCCTTCCTCAGAAGCCACAAAAAGTACAAACCTCTTTCTTTGAGCTCACATCACAGAGTGATGTCGAGAAGGATGTTGGCAAACCCATCTTCTTCATCATTTTGAGCTCTTGGAGTAGAGCTTCATCTGATTCATTAACATCATCAAGATGCATTGCCTTGTAAGGTAATAATTCAAGAAAAAATATTAAAAATTTAAAGAAATGCCTAGTATCTAAATGTGTAGACTACACGCAGTCCCTCCTTTTTGGTGGGGTCCATCATGCTCTGTCAATAAAATCAGTGAAGACAAAACCGATGTTAGCATGCCACAAGGAACCCTTGGAGTGATGTTGATAAGTTGCAGGAGCTACACGAGTGAGGCACTCGAAAAGTAAGGACTACAGACTAAGCCCAGGAGTTTGGATTCTGTGTAGTGTTCACACCGGAAAAATACGATTTGCTTTCCACCAGAAATCTGTCAACAAGCAGTCATGAGTGTCAACACTTATCAATACTTCAAATGGCTGATGACCTGTAAGAATGTTTATTGTAGTTTCCGAAAACTTGTCGGCTAAAATCAGAACAGACTGGGGTGCTAAAAGCCCTTATTGCTGGCAAAGACATTCTCACAATTTTGCCATCTTACTTTGGAAAGAGTCTTATCTACCAGGTGTTTTGTTTCACAAAAATTTCTAAAGCCTGCATCCTTGTAGTTTCACCCTTAAACAGCATCGTGGTGGAACAAGTTGTTGATCTCAACAAACTTCCCCTTCCAGCCACTCAGTCACCAGAAAAGGACAAAGACTGCACAAATACTATCTCTGAACACAAATTACAAGCACACACATGGCAAAAGTCATTCCTGCTATAATGGTTCCTTGACCAGTCTGCCCTTCCTAATTATCTTCTTAGGAGTTTTGTTCCTGAGAGTCATCCTTACTGAAACATTTTAAAGATTTCCAGTTTATTCTGTGCCTTGAAATTTGAAATGGTTTAATTTTCTGAGATCACTCGTCCAGAAGGGTATAGCTATGACATGAAGACTGACTGGTTATTAAGACAAGGACTCTCACTGGTTACACCTAATTGAGATCATAATTTGACAACTGAAAAGCATTCAGCCATGCCAGGTCAAACTATTGAGCTTAGTCTGTGGTCCCTATTTCTTGGGCACCTCACTCATGGAGCTCCTGCTGCACATCAATGTCACTGCTAGGGCTACCCCCGCGGCACATCAATGTCACCACAAGGGCTACCCCCGCGGCACACCAACATCAATTTTTTCCAACTTGTGTGATGGACTGCTCATAGTCTATTAAATGTGAGGATCGTCACAAGCAAGCTTTATGGGACAATTATAACCAGAATCATTTCGAAACAATTATTTGTGATAACTCATTTTTGATCCCTTAAACAAACAACCAGGTCATTTACAACTTTTCAATGCTCCAGCCTTGGTTAATGAAACCATGGCATTCAATATCTAGCAACACCACAGGGAGCCCACACAAGTGGCGTGTCTGGTTGTTTGTTCGAAATATAAAGAAATGTATGGGAGAATATTGAAGAGTCGTAATATCGTAAACTTATATCAAGGAATGTCTATGTTAAGGCTCAAAATAAATGTAAACCTACCTCACTTGCTGGGTATTGTTGTTTCTGTGGTTCTAAATGGCAAATTTGAGCGATTTGGTGGGTTTTGCATTGACTGTTACTTTACATTATAAGAAGGAGACAAGGGTGGAAAGCTCATTTTCGACCCCTCCAGCTCAAAGCCGATTTTCACCCAGAAATTAGAATTGCCCGGCTTCAAAATGGAACACCAGATAAACTAAAAGGTTGATGCTTCTTCTCATGTCATTCAATTGAAGATCCATTCAAAATCCAAGTGCTAACCACCATTCCGAGAAATGCAGCTTTCCAAGCGATTGGCATCCATGGCACAGATTTCATGTGCCAGGGAGCAACTGTCATGCTGTTTGCTCCATGCTGATTGGATGATGGTAAACAATGCCCTGTTTCAAATGCCTCATGTGAGAGGGGAGTCAGGGGCATATTCACACCGGCAATTCATCTACTGACTAGCCTGGTGTGAGATTCATGGCACGTGAGGAATCTGTAATTCGAAAAAAATCACAAGTATCCTCTCAAACCTCACAAAGAAAGCTGCATCTCTCGAAAGTTTTTTGGCGGTTAGTGCTTGAATTTTGAATAGATCTTTGATTGAATGACACGAGAAGAAGCGTCAACCTTTTAGTTTATCTGGTGTTCAATTTGGAAGCCGGGCAATTCTAGTTTCTGGGTGAAAATCGGCTTTGTGCTGGAGGGGTCGAAAATGAGCTTTCCACCCTTGTCTCCTTCTTATAACGTAAAGTAACAGCCAAAGCAAAACCCACCAAATCGCTCAAATTGGCCATTTAGAACCACAGAAATGACAAATAAACGCACCAAGTGAGGTAGGTTTACATTTATTTTGAGCCTTAACATAGGTATTCCTTGATATAAGTTTACGATATTACGACTCTTCAATATTCTCCCATACATTTCTTTATATTTCAAACAAATGACCAGACACCGCCTCCTGGTTAGCTCAATTGGTAGAGCGCCAGACTGTTGTGCGGGAGGTCAAGGGTTCAAGCCCAGGCCGGACCAACACTCAGGGTCTTAAAATAACTGAGGAGAATTTGCTACCTTTCTATAATATCAAGAAATGGATAGATATTCTAGTTTTCTCAGAAAAGGGCAAATAAACCATAGACCCCATCTCCTGCAGGGTTAGGGGTAGGAGACGTTAATTTCCCACGCACGAGATTACTGTGTGGTGGGTGTCCTCCCTTGGGGTAGGATGGGTGGGTTTACTGGGCCCGCAGTAATTAGGGCAAGCTGTTGCGGTGTCCCTGCCTGTCAACGAATCTAATAAGTTAAATTACATGCGGCTTGTGTGGGCTCCCTGTGGCAACACTCCATACTGTTCAGAAATCTTGTTTGACAAGTGCAGCATAAAATGGATAGTTACCTCGACCTGGGTAGTTATTTGTTCCTCTTTTAACATTCTCCCTTGTTCCTTTACATACTTCAAAAGGTCTGTATCACTGCACGTTAAAAGTAAGACGTTGTTGAATGGGTATTTCAAAATTGAGCATTTTAAATAACTTGCTGTAAATAAATAACCAATTAATTATGGAAGAGAGTGCTTCTCTTCTCTTTCTGCCCTCAGGAGATGTTGATTGTGAAATTTCCTTCGGGTTTTCAAGCTAGGGAAGCACTGTTTTCTAACACATATCTATATCTATCGAGTGGGAACGAAATGTTAGAACTCTGCAGTACAGTGCCATACCTCTGTAATGCGCGAGTACAAAAGCATGTGACAACTTCCGATGGTCTCGTTTCGTTAAAAGACACTGTCAACTTCGCGATAAATTTTCCACCAGTACTCATTTCTAGTTTTAAGTTTACGAGAACATGAATCCAGAGTCTGTCTTCCACGTGCTTTCGCGAACAGTTCGACGACGTTCTCGTTTGCGGGTGATGCAATATCGAAGGCGTTCGTCGAGGGTCGAACACACAAGTTTATAGCACAGCGGTTAAATTTTAAATGCGTCGTGTAAGCTGTAGCACGTGTTCCCCACGAAAAGTTCAAACCCGAAGTGAGTAAAATCGTGCTGAACAAAGGATAAAGATATACAAAAACGAATGAAAATGCACTTTCGTTTGCCATGCTGAATCAATTTATATATCATATAGGCATATATGGAATATCTCAGAAACTCCCGACAGTCCCACACGACACCAGTGCAGTTTTAAAAAGCATTGAACAAATGATTCACACAGGAATGGATCTAGAGTTAATCAGGACACTTAACTATTGTGTAATTGTTGCTTTCATGATGATACACTTTTTGTAGGTACCCAGGATGATCACCATAAGGGAGCAAGCATCTTAACTACTCAAGTTGAGTTTCAGGAAGGCGTAGCGCAGGGGTTTCATTAGCTTTTTCCGTAAGTGGCTATGCTGTAAACCCACTGGCAGTGGAGTCCACACCTTTTGAGCAGGAGACAGATGTGAATGCACCAAAGGTCCACAGGGCTTAATGTATAAAAAGACCTCTCACTGACTTGCATTTTGCAGATGTCACACTGCTTGTGATAATAGCTTGCCTGAACATTAGTCTTACTGTTCGGATGAGAGTAATTCTGAAAAGAAGTGTTTTCAGCAACAGCTACCCATGTTTTGATAACCAAAGCAGAAGTCCTTATCAGAGCTAAGTCATTATCAAGTCCTTATCAGAGTCCCTTTATCCCTATGACGACTTCCACCATGGTAACTGACCTGAAACAATCATTTTCAGGGCCACTCTCCTGCTGACGAGCACACTACATTACACCTCTGCATTCAAAGCATTTACTGTATTTCTTTTGATACTTTCCAAGTTTGCCAGAACAAAGATTAACCAGCCTGCAAAGCACTTCCTTTCACTAAATGAGTTTCCATTACCTTTTACTGCCACGAGGCTCTTATCTACTAAATCTCATCGGATACTTCACTGATGGACTCTTCACCATCTACCTCGACTCAATAAATGAAGTACATCAACTATGTAGTGCTTTATTTTGACATCAAAAAGGTTCTACACATTTTAACTTAAATCTAACAAGTAACAACAGAAAAATCAGACAAAATTTGACTTGATCTCCATCAGTTATGTTCTCCTGAAAATTTTCATGACGTTAACAGTCATTGAACTACATGTATCTACTGCACTATTACTTTCCAAATCAGAGACAAAGTCAGAGCAAATAAAGATTGCTATATTTCCAAATGTTTCATCTCACAATACTCTAGGCAAAACAACTGACTGAATATTAAATAAATGATAACAAAACAATAATAGCAAGTTCCTACGTTAATACCTAAAACTACTTAAAAACTACATACTTGTAACAACTTATCATTAAAAATGTTTCAAACACAGAAAAATGAAGACATTGACTGAAACTGAAAGGAGTATAAATCAAAATAGAAGCTTGTTTGAATCAAAACTTCTCTTGCAGAACAATAAGGAATTCCACAGGTCTGTGAGAATCTGCAAAAGATAAAGGAAAATACTGAGAACAGTATAAGCAGAGACAGCTCCTCTCGTAGTCTACAGGGAATAATGGCTGTGATTTATGAAGAACAAATCACCTTACCAGAAGAAAAGTATGTGGCTGTTAATTTGTTGCAGAATTTATGGATTGTCCTCAGTCCATGAAATTAGTTCCAGTAGAAAAAAAAAATCCAGCAAAATAAAATGCTCCCAAAATTGACTACCCTAATTCCAATTGAAAAACTTGTGGAAGAACACAAGGGTTAAGTACAGGTTTATTGTCATTTTTGTCATTGTTTTTTTAATTTCCTCATTCTGCCAGTCTCAGTGGGCAGTTAGGTTTTGAAGTTCAACAGGAAAAACAAACAAACAAACAAACCAATCATCAGTTATCGAAAAATGCCTTCATAAAAGTACCACTGCTGTGACAAAGTTCCTACACGCTCCTTGTTCAAGTATGAGTTCATCCAAATTTTCTGCAGTTTTAAATGCAACTTCCAGAGAGACCTAACATGAAATTGAACTTTAAGTAATGAACATTATTTCATATTACAGCTAATAAGAATATAAAATAAATAATACCTGCTCAAATAATGCCACATTCAGTAGCGTCGTGGGCTACGCGACCTGCTCCTTCCTCTTGACTGCCACCTTTTGATGGAAACATTGTACAAGGTGTTACATGGGAATTCACAGAATGAAATTTAAATCCATTTCAGGTCAAAATAATTGAAAACTCATTTTATTTGTTCTTTCTTTTGTTACATTTCAAGTCTTTAGACTGAGAGAAATATGAATCAAACAGGTTTGAGATCACATTAACCTTAAATCAATTTTAACAGCAATGGCCATACTTACATGTAACAAAATATGGACAATAACATAATAAATTCAGCATATTTAAATTTAATAGAAAGCATCTTGTATACACAGTTTCAAAATTTTACCACAAAAGAGACCTGCCTTACGGTGTTGCTTTAAGTAAAGAAATAATTCACTACAAACTGCTGTATTAATTATTTATCAAAGCTGATGTACCTGTCTGGCTCAGGAGACCTCCCCCCTCTGCGGGGTGGTGACCTGTAATGCAAAACAAAAAACATTTGTTGTGAGTTGGTGTTTATGTGTAAGTGCTTCAACCCTGAGATACATGTTGCTGTTGTTCTCTCTATTCTATAAGCACTCGAGTAGATACAAAGAGCATCACTTTTGAGATAAAACTGGATGTAACCAACGACCTTTAGCCAAACATAAATAACACAGCTTTGAACATAGTTTTAATTTCATGCATGCTACATGTATGACACTTGCAATTTCTTCATCATTTACAACCAAGACCAATATTTCACATATGACCATAAAGAAATAATTATTTGTAATAAAAATTTTCACTTGTTCAAAGATAAACTTGAAAATAGCATAAACCAAGAGGCACCATAAAATGCATGCCAGATGTTTTTTTTTTTGTTTTTTTTACCAATTTTAACCACTGAAATTATATTAAGCACTACCTGCAGTTGCTAATGCAGAAGCGGAAAACTGGGTTTCCTTGTTAAAGAAAGCTGATGTGTTGTTCACATGCTGAAGTGCAAAATTAACATTGCTGGGGGAGGATGACATTCGAGGAGAAGTGCATGTTGCTCTCTTATGAAAGAACCCTGGTAGCGCTTGGTAACATTTCAGTGAAGCCGATTGAGACACTCCTGGTCCATACATATCAGTATCCGAGGGTACGATATCAGGGTGTGGTGATTTTAGTAATGAAGGGAGGTTGAGTTGAAAGGTTTGATTCCAGGTGGATGAGAGCAGGTTTTGGAGGTTGGTTGAAGGTAGAATTGGATCTGGCCGTGTTGATGTTTTTTTTTTGTTGCAACATCCTGAACTACAGGAAATTTGGATGGAGTACAAAGGTGATCTTAAGCACGACACTTTGTTGAACTTGCAACGGCAAAAATGTTACAAAGATGCGAGGACGAGGTATGGATGAACCTAAAGAATAACCCAAATAGTTATTTTGGTGGAACTATTGATGATTGTCATGGCTACAAATAGCAATCAGCACCCTCAGCTGTAACAAAATATTTAAAATTGTTATCCTTTGAAGTGAAATCTTAGGTCTACATTGTAATTTTTTGGGTCAAAATGACTTTTACACTAAACTCAAGTTTACTTTATACTTGCCTTTATTCAGGATACATTATCAAAATTCTTAACCTTTAATACTTTCGTACCCAAGATCTCAATAGCAATTCTCCTTACAGTCTGCCAGACAGTTCTTATAGTGTTAGTTTGGAGAATTTGATAATCCCCCTCTTTTCTTTTTGCCTTATTCTCATAACTTGTCTGTGTGATGTTGTATTGATATTGTAAGGAGAAATTCTGTCTTGATCACTCATGGGAGTTAAAGAGTTAAACCCTAGGAGTGACCAGTCTCTAATATTTCTCCTCGTAGTAATACTGATAAATCATTCTCTTTAAGATCGTGAGAATAAAGGAAATAATCTACAACCTAAGAGGCTTTGATCATTAAGTGAATTCTCCTTGTTAACACCAAAGCGAATGTATGGAGAGGAGTATAGAGAATATGGTTACTGATGTTAGAGTGTTGAGGGTTAAACAAGGACAAACACGGACAAACCTAGCTTGAATTTATTTCAACCTTAATGCCATTGCCATTTTATTTATAACACAGACTTGAAGGTATTCGTTATTTCAAGAAAAAAATTGAATCTGAAGTTTAACATTGACTTCAAGCTTGGTAGGCAAATAAAGAAATTTTTAAATGCAATCATAGTATGTAGCATTTTCATAATTTTGTAACATTTTCAAGGGAAATAAGAACAGGTACCTAAGAGAGTAAGTCTTTGCACATTTATAATCTATTATTAATAATCAACTATGACAAATCTAATAACCAGAACCCTGAGAAGTTCTTCTTTGCATATGACAAAAAAAAACTCTTCTTTACACGACAGTTTCAGTTTAAAGAAAAGAATTAGTGCTTTGTAATTGAGTACTCTTCAAAAATAAGAAATGTTTTTTCTCTCTTATATTATGGTCATAACCCGAGACAAAGAAGGCTGATGACAAACTCCCACGGAAGTATTCTTCACCAATTAAAAACCTAAAATCAAATGTTGTTAACTCCTGCACTGCTAATTCAAGTTATTCTACGACATTCCCAAGTTACTTACCTATATGGTGATCTGGACCGATCATCATAGCGGTCATATCCTCCGCCACGGTCATCAAAATGTCTGCCACCACCAGAACGGTCACCACGGTAACCACCACCACCCCCACTCCGACCACCACGCCCTCCCCGGTGTCGGGACATTTCTACCCTTATACGGGCTCCACAAATGTGCTTGCCATCCAGGCCTTCAACGGCATCTTTTGCATCACGCTGGTCTTCAAATTCCACAAAGGCAAATCCAGGTGGATTGCGAGCAACCCACACATCATGCAGTCGTCCATATTTCTTAAATTCTCTCTCCAGTTCATCTTTTCGTCCATTTTCCCCAAGGTTTCCGACATACACCTTGTATGTTCGTTGACCTGACATCTACAGAAACAAATTATTATTGACAGATAAACTAGTTTAAGCCTGAATCTTAGAACCTAGGATTAAGAAACATCAAAAGTGTTTGATATTAAAACTTCGTATCCTGTTTTCTGTTGCTTGTAAACGCAGGTTTGAAAGAATTGAGGTGGGTCACTGACTACGTTATCAAAATGTGATATTGGATCCCTCTCGCTATTGTCGCTCAGGTATGTGACAATTTTAAGACCTTTTCAAATTTGAGTAATGTAATTGCTGTAGTTTTTTTTTGTGTATAACCCCACACTATTCTAAAACAAAGCCTTTGTCCCAAAGGAAATTCTACTGTTTTCGCCATTGTTTGTTTTGTAGAAAGAACTGTACGTTTGTCTTCTTTACCGCGCGCGTCTTGAGCTGGAGCACTCTAGCGAACAGTAATTCAAAGTAATGAGGAAAAACTGCTAAGCGATTTAGCCCCACTTCCCAATAAGGGAAACAGATACATCAAAAAACGCAGATAACAAAGGCCATGTTCGTAGAACTGATCTCATATGATATCTTACTTGAAAACTAAAGCAACATCTCGATTAAAAAGACAAATCTTTCGTAAAAGTTTCGCAAACGATCGGTGGTTAAAACCACTCAAAACTTAAGAAAAAAGAAATGCACCATGAAAGCTATTTTTGTCCCGACGAAGGCAGGGCAAGCTTCAAGGGGGAGTTCTAAGAGAGAAACATTAGGTGAAGGAAAGATGCGGATTCTACAACGTGAAACGCCATATTGAAAAGCTAGGTCGAAAATCCATACGAATCACATGTTTAACTGCTTAATTGTTCAAAAATTACTACCAAATAATAAACCAGATCTTTGAGTCTCAATTACCTTTGATTAGAGCCGTAGATCTCAAGAAAGTAGCTTCAAATGGTATGAGTAAAGACAGCAAGCTAAACTCGTGTTTATCGTCCTTGTAGAGTGAGCGTCTCATATGCTTACACCAGGCCCACGCGGTCAACAAACACCAAGACGAGGCGACACGAAACCCACATCAGCTCGGCGGACAGAATTGACATGGGGAGTTGAAAGAGAAGGAATTTTTTTCTTTGATTTCTTTATCAGTCTAAAAAAAAGGTATTTTTTGGAAATGACGACATTTTAAATTTTTGATTAGAATCCAAAATGTTCTAAGACTGGCGATTTGTTGGGATCTTGTATCGAATTGACCCAAGAGGAACACACAAGACTTGAAACATCCTCGGAGACCCAGGGGCTGTGGGTCGATTTCAAGTTAGGGCATGAAGAGCCCCTGGGGACATTGTCTTACAAGACTAGTTCCAAACGGTCGCAGTCATTCTGCCATCTGATTGGTGCCAGAAAATCTTTGTGTTTTTCTGCCCAATCAGAGTGAAGTGTGCTTTAGAGTCCTTTCGTGTGTTTTAACACGGANAACAACTCATCGCGCGATAGAACAACTTATCGCGCGATAGAACAACTTATCGCGCGATAGAACAACTTATCGCGCGATAGAACAACTTATCGCGCGATAGAACAACTTATCGCGCGATAGAACAACTTATCGCGCGATAGATACGGTGCAGTGGCCCATAGGGGACATGGCACATATTTTTATCGCGCGATAAATAATAGATTATCGCGCGATAAATGGAAATTATCGCGCGATAAATGGAAATTATCGCGCGATCAATGGAAACTATCGCGCGATAAAAGAACATTTTATGGCGCGATAGAACAACTTATCGCGCAATAGAACAACTTATCGCGCGATAGAATAACTTATCGCGCGATAGAACAACTTATCGCGCGATATAACAACTTATCGCGCGATAGATACGGTGCAGTGGCCCATAGGGGACATGGCACATTTTTTTATCGCGCGATAAATAATAGATTATCTAGATGGCAGAACGACTGCGACCGTTTGGAAGTAGTCTTGTAAGACAATGTCCCCAGGGGCTCTTCATGCCCTAACTTGAAATCGACCCACAGCCCCTGGGTCTCCGAGGACGGTCTGCAGATTCGATCAAATTGTATATTCTGCGACGAAGGGTTTGCTCGGCGAAGAGAGCAAGAAGAAGAAAATTGAGAGGAGGGGTAGGGGAGGGAAGAAGAGGGGAAAAAAGGCTTCTGTGGGTAAAATGGGAGGGAGATTGCCGGTTTGCAAACAAAGTTGTGTTCTCTTATCTCAGCGGAGAAAAAGTCCTCTAGAGGTCTGGTCGCTTGACTTGAAGACGTTAACCTTCCTACTATTAAGATCAGACGATTAAATCTTCTTACTTTCTGCCATACTCTTCTTATGATTTTAGCTATGAGTGTTTGGTCTAAAACCAAACAGCATCTCTTATTGACATTTTGCTTTCCTTCACCCTTCGCTCTGAGGATAAGTCATTACGAGTTAAAAAAAAATCTATTCTTTGAATGTCATCCCTCGAGGTATTCATTCATGATAGGGCAACACCTTGCTACAATCTCAGATCGCACGCGAGCGTACGAGATTTAGACGAAGATAATGTCGAAAGTATGTGTGTCTATCGTTTTCAAATGATGGATTAGCTGGGTAAACTGTACACTTTGCTCTAAGACTAGTTCTGTTGTGGAGTGAATGCAATCACATAATTCTCGAGGTGAAAGTCCTATCCAATCCTGCCTTTCGGTCACATGGCGTCACAACAAACTATTCACCTGGACAAACTCACGAAAACGGCAGCCAACATCATATAAGAGAGTAGAGGAGCGGGTTTGTCATCTATTTCTTTGTTCTGACAACATAGGGACCCGAGTAGCGGCACTGGTACTTAAACCAGTGTTGAATGTAAAGAGGTAGGGACTTACTGATTTGATTTCATTGTCGAGATAACCGCCGGTTGCGTACTGTAGTTTTACTTTTGAAATTCCTTGTGTGCCTTTAGTAATTAAGCTTTGCCTTTACGTCATCTTTTTTTCTGACTGATGTACCCTTGTCTGCTTCTTCTTGAATTCTAGAACAGGACAAAAATGATTTTTTTTTGGCATTGAGTTTTTATACTTGTGATGAAAACAGTGCTACTAGGCAAAGATCAGTCAATGTGTCGAGTATTGATTTTCCGTTTCGAATTCTTCAGGCAGCACGTTGTGCAACGCGAATTTCGATCCACTAAATTAGCCAATTCAACAACAACTGTTTGAATCAAACAGCTCTCTTGGTTTTGAAACGTTTGCGACTGATGTTCGTGATTGGTGTGACTAGCGTCCATATAAATAGCACGGGTGGTCTGATTCCTTCGCCTCATGAGCGATGAAATAAAGTATCAACCAAGCATGCAAATATATTCTATATTTCCTTTATTCAGTGTGGTTTCCCCTCAAAATACTTTGTTCGAGATAGATTAACTTACATAGTCGCCCTCATGATGTAGCTAGAATAGTCTGAATAAGTTGATGCTCGCGGAATTTCAATCACTTTACTGGTGCCTCAATCTACGTTAGCCTCCGAGGTCGAGTGGTTTGCTCTAAGGAGCATGCTGAGTGCTTGGTTATTTTGTTATTTGCGAACAGCCACAGTTAACAAACGTATTGTTCTAACAATCTTTCTAAAAGACATTGCACGCTAACATTTGCTTTTGTATTGAAACGGAACGATCCTAATAGTGGTCAGGGTACAGGAGCAGGAGCTAAAAAATGAAATTGCAGAAATGAATGTATTTCCTGCTGTCTTTTCACGTGATGTGTCCTAAGAATATTGCATACCATCACCATTGCTACCATGTTTGTCAAGAGAATAAAATGCAGACTTTGATTCACCGAAAATACAATCAAAGAATCCATAAATTTCGTAACAATGTAGTGTACATTCCAAATTAGTAGCCCTCTTTCAGCAAGACAAGTTGCATAATTATGTTGAGCATCAGTAAACTGAGACAATAATTATTACCATATTATGCTTGAGAACTTTTGTTTTGTCTCAGTGGTTGAAAAGAAGGCTCATTTGATAATTACATGGGTGAATTCAAATGGTGAGATTGACCCCGGGTTTTAGTCTTTGTTAAGAGGATCCTGATCCCATTTCATTCATATATTTTAGAAAAATTCATCCATCACATGCACTTTTAACAGTATTAAACACATCATGAATTTAAAAGGAAAACTTCAAATTTCACCTTACTTTGCCTTATTGTGAAATTCATTTGTCCCATATTAATTTTGGGGACAGTCATGCATCACCTTTACACCCTTATCACCATGCTTTTATTGATGAGTGGAATAGTTAGCTTCAGCAAGTATTTTCTACACAGTAAATATCTGTGTTGAGACTTTTCTGCTGTGATGAATGTAAAACAATTGAACACCATTATGAGATAATCAGCCAGAATGGAAAGAGATTTTTACTGAATAGTCAAATTAATTGCTTGATGGATGAATAAGGATTTGTTTCAAAAAACACTCAGGTCTATGATAGAATGCTTGGATCAGATTTCTTTCCCTGTGCAATTCCATTTAACATTGTGACAATTAAGCCTGGATTTTCTGAAAATAAACAATAACAAAGTGTACTTGCTTCTGATTGTTTATCTAATGAAATTTTGAATTTTCTTCTGTGTTGGTAAAGGCAACAACATGATTTTGAGTGCAGTTTGGTGTTAATAAGCACAAGTAAATTTTTCAAAAACAACAAAGAAGCCTTTAATCCCTAAAAGTGACTGGCTTCTGTATACAAACTTTTCGAATCAGGCCTTAAACTGATGTAAAATTTAAAATCCAAGCTTTCGCCAATCAACGGCATGGACAACATGAACAGATTATCGACTGGCTTCTAATCTCTCTTCACATTTTCTCCCTTGAATCAAATATAAAGGCCATGAGAATAAAGGAAATGATCACCAATTTACTTGATCGTCAAATAAGATTCTCCTTGTCAATACTGTAGAAAAAGAGAGAGAACAGTATGGAGAATATAAACACTGATCTTAGGGTGTAAAGTTAACACAGAGCTCTTTGTAACTCAGTGGTAGAGCATTAGAGCAGGGTATCTGTTATGATTTGAATAAACAAGCATTTCTGGGTTCAAACCTCCTCTCCCAATAAAAGTGATAAAACCACTCTATTGAGAGTTATCTATCTTGGAAAGGGTAGAATTATTGACAGGTTTTGGTAATTTAGAACCATGAAATTCTGTAGAAGTATTTTTTTTTTTCTGATTTGAAATTTTGGTTAAGAATATTTCTTTTAACCACTCTGAGCAAAGTTGTTTTGGACAAGTATTGTTGGAAAATTTATAAAATTTATTTCTGATAGAGTTGTTAACAGACTCCCATCGGTGCTGTCAGGGGGAGGAAGGGAGAATACCTCCCCCCTCCCCAGCAAAACAAATAATTTAAATTCCCAAATAGTACCTTGGACTCAGAAGTTAACTTTGAACTCCCAGAAGTGATTAACATGAAACTTCTTGAAATTCCAAGACGTATTCTTGTAAATAGTTTTTGAGAGCAGAGAAGGTTATCAGCTAGCTGATTTTTTTTTTTTTAATCAGACTAAGTTATCCTGTTTAATTTACAGGGAATTGGATCTTGGGGTCCATTTTGGTTTTACAGAATAATCTTTATACAATGCTAAGGATATCTTAAAGCAAAAAAGTTTAAGTTGAGAATGAAACTTAACACCTGGCATTGGCTTTACATCCCTGTAAGGTAATGTTTATTAAGCAAACTCTTCTGGAAGTAAATTGTGCTTCTATAATACTTGTGTTTCCTCAGTTTCTAGAATTTGCCAATTCAAGATACGAAGTAAACATTTTCTGTCGGAAAACCATTGATGTTTCTACCCATGCAAGGTGATAATCTTTCATCGTCGATGCGGTCAGGGTTATTAGATGTAAATTTACTAGGATTGGGTCGAAAAGTTAAAATCACGTGATATCGAGGAAATGGCATTGCTCGACGACGGAGCGGTGATGCAAAGTGCATTAACCACTCGGCCGCAACATCCGCCACTAAAAACAGCTTCAAAATCCAGATCCTGAGAGAGTTGTTCCAATAATTTGGAATTCAATCCTAAAACCAGTAAGTGTTTCGAAGACCCTCAATCTTTTGTCGGCAAACCGTTAGGTTTTTTTTAAAGTATGCAGTATGGCGTGACTTTCAGGGTGCGTGTTGGCTTGTCGTTAATTCAGTGGTAAATTAGTTTAAACTTAGACAACTCTATCTGTCTAGGTCCTGAGTAAAGCTGTTGAATGGAAGTTTGCGTTGTACTTCGGGCGAGATGTGTTCCTACTTAGCCGGATTTTTACTCGTGTTTATTCATCGCAAACCAAACACAATATGAGCAAAGGTCGAGGTCATTTTTTTTCATAAACCGCCCGGTTGATAGAGTATTACGAGAAGTTGTCTATGCGTCCTTTTCTAAAGCGCTCTTCGTGCACGCTTAGAAACAAAGTGCGCGGTAGCGGGAAACAGAAACAATAACTATATCGAAAGTTCGCATCAGGTCCGGATTACTTTTAGTCTTTCGTGCAGAGCACGCTTACCCCGTGTTTACACTCAAGCGTTTACCAAGGTAAACATTAACTGACTAAACCTTGGTACATTTGTATAATGTTCAGGGCCGTAGCTAGCATGAGGCAAGACGAGGCAATCGCCTCGTCTTAATTTTGGCCTTTTTTAATTTTTTTCTTAAAGATTGACTTTTCTGAAGAAAAATGCCACGGAATATCCTTAAAAGAGCATTTCTAAACCTCTAGTTTTCAAAATTTTCTGGGGGGCATGCCCCCAGACCCCTCTAGCGGCTCGCGCCTTCGGCGCTCGAAACTTGCCTCGTCTTGTCCTGAAATCTGGCTACAGCCCTGTTGAGG